AGAAGATTATTTATTGTATGATTCCATTTATACAAAGAGGCGAATTCATGAAGACAGAAGTAGATTAGTGGCTGCTGGAAGATGAAAGGAGGGGATGAGGAAGTAATAATCAGGACAGTATTTCTTTTTAGGGTGATGAAAGGTGCTGGAATTAGACAATGGTTTAATGGTTACACAATTCTATGAATATATTAGAGACCACTGAATTGTAGAATTTAAAAGGGTGAATTGTACAATATCTGACTTATGTCTCAATAAGGTTTTTTTATTTTATTTTATTTTTAAATTAGAAAGTTTAGACAACGTGAATGCTGGAGTACTCCTGCAAGCTTCCTTCAGCAGTGCCATCTCAGGTGTCACTAAAGTCACACATACAAGTGAAATATATTTGGTAAAATGCTCAGAAAGACAATTTCTAGCAGAGAGCTTGGCATGTACTAAGCATTTAAACATTTTTGAATGAGCGAGTGGTTGAATATTCAAGAAGGGAAATACATAGTGCACATGCGAGCTAAGCTTCAGGGTGAACTGTGAGAACTTGAGCCACATGATGTTTGGAATTCATGATTAAACTCACTTCTGGATGTTTCAGTATCGTCAAGAGACTCCAAGAGTCTAGAAAATGCACTAAGACATGTTATTTTGGGGGGAATATGGTTGTAATCCTTGGCAAGTTCCATTGCCAATTTGAAGAGATAAATGTATAGTATTTATGATAGTTAACCCCAGATTCTCACATGGGGATAACTGTGATAAATACCTTGTGTATAGTGCTTTGAAACCTGGAGCACATTCATTTGATTGTCTTCAGAAGAGCAAGTCCAGTGCTCCAAGGGAATCTGCTATTAAAAGGCAGCCGAAAGAATTTTTTTTTTTTTTTTTTGGTACCAGGGATTGAACCCAGGGGTGCTTAACCACCGAGCCACATCCCTATCCCTTTTTATTTTTATCTTGAGACAGGGTCTTGCTAAGTTTCTTAGGGCCTTGCTAAGTTCCTGAGGCTGGCCTTGAACTTGTGATCCTCCTGCCTCAACCTCCCAAGTCTTTGGAATTACAGGTGTACATGCCCGGACTCCTGGCCAACTAAAAGAATTTTAAAGACAAATCTAGAATGTAATGGTGATCTCAAAGCACATATATAAATTTGGAAAACTGTAATGTCTACCATGGAAAACAACTTTTAAAATTTGAACCGTATAATATGCTTGGTGCGTTTACTGGTTTACATGCCACTTTTCTTCCTCTTTTGACTTCACTGGGGTTTTCCCCATAGAGTTGGGGACTCACTGCTGTTAACCAGACCTTCTTTCTCAAACTGTTTCCCCTTCTCCGGCATCTCACACTATCAGCCAGTCTTTATCCTCTCACTTCTCCTCTCTAGACCTCCCTCTTTCTCTTTTATTTATTTATTTTTTTCCAGTTTTTAAAATTTGAATTTGTTATGTATACAGTAGAATGCATCACCATTCATATTACACATATAGAGCACAATTTTTCATATCTCTGCTTGGATACTAAGTATATTCACACCATTTGTGCTCTCACACATGTACTTAGGGTAATGACGTCCAGCTCCAACATTGCAGTCGGCCTACCCAAAGTTGGTTCTTTCCAGAGTTCTTCCCCAGGCCCCCTCTTCCCTCCAATACATGCTTCCTCTGTGGTCTCAGAGACCCACCTCCTATAATCAGATGCCTGCAGATTTCTATTCCTGGCCCTGATTCTCCTGTCCAATCCTGTCCAGTTTCCCAGATGTTCTTAGCCTTGCAGCTCCCCTCAGGTGGTTATCTTTGAGGACGATATGTCATGAAGAAGCTGAGAGCATTTGTGGAATACTCTGTAGGGAGCTTCTTTGTAGGATAGCATCCCAAAGCTTTCATAAGAAATTTAGTGAATTTTTGTCCAAAACAATGGAATTTCTCATAGAGATATAATTTCTGTGATTTTAAAATGTGACTCCAAATTCTTTTTTAAAAAATATTTATTTTTTACTTGTAGTTGGACATAATACCTTTATTTTATTTTATTTTTTATGTGGGGCTGAGGATGGAACCCAAGCCTCGATAGGTGAGTTCTCTACTGCTGAGCCACAACCCAGGCCCCTCCAAATTCTTTTAGCTATTGATAAGACCAAACCTACATCTCAAACAGTGATATGCTATTGGGGCTATTCTAAAGAATATGTCACAAGAATATGCCAGAAAACATTTTTTTTTTTTTTTAGTGGTGCTGGAGATTGAACCCTTACTGATCTGCATTAACTTTTAAATGCCACACCACCCATTTTACAGATGAAGCCACTGAGATGTGGAACAATGGACTGAATAGTCATCAGCCCTCCCCTGCAACCTCAAATGACCACAGCGTTGCCCTAACCCTATAGAATGTAAGTCCCATGCTGCTGGGGTCCAATCTTGCCATCCCAGGGAGAACACACAGCTGACGGCTGGCTGTGAGATGGACGGACCTGGAGACCAGACGGTGTCTTGAGTATCTGGATCCGATGATGCATTAAACTGGTGTAAACCTGGACATTTCCTTTGCATGAACCCAGACTTTCCCTCTTTTTTCCCCTTTTATACTGTTTGATTTGAAAACATTTTTACAGGAGTTTATTGGAAACAGGTAGGGGAGGATTAGGGGTATCAATCTGCATAACTTCCAACGATTTGGGTGATAACATTCATTTTCACAGATAAACTGTATTATGTTTGTAAAGATAAATTGGGTTACTTTTAAAAAATATTTTTAGTTACAAATGGACACAATACCTTTATTTGTGTATCTTTTATGTGGTGCTGAGGATCGATCCCAGTGCCTCACACGTGCCAGGCAAGCACACTACCACTGAGCCACAGCCTCCATAAACTGGATTACTTTAAAGCCATTGTGTGTTGTGGTGGACGTTGGGGATCTAGGTGTGAATCCTAGCTTGACCCCTTACATGAGGAACTTTGATCATATTAAAGTTATGAAACTAAAGGTAACTTCCATTTCCTCGTTTTTAAAATGACCTCAAATTGCTGTGAGATGAAGAATTGTGTAAGTATATAACCTGGCACACAGTAGGGATTCAATAAGTGGCAGCTATTATTATTATCTCTCAGTGAAATAAACAGTGATCACATTCACAGCTCTCTACTTGACATTGCCTACTAGGAGCTGAGAAAAAAATTTAATTTAGCTAAGCATTACTTTATGAAAACCTTCCACCATGCAATGAACTAAATACTGTAATTTAGTGACTGCTCTGCAAAAAACAGACACATTAAGTCCTGGTGTCTGTTTTCTCAGGGGTGGGATAAAAAAAAAAAACTAACATTTTGTTGTTGTTGTTGTTAATTTAAGTATCAGATGCTATCAAATACATTTTTTCTTCCTTTCTTATTGGTAAAAGAATGATTAATATATCTGAAATAAAATGGAATTTCACATTTTTTGAAGTTGTGAATACTGTTTTTTTAAAATAATTCCATGTTTACTTTTTCATAACAAAATTATGAGAAATTTTCTACAGTTAGGCATAGGTCAGTTCTCCAGAAAATGCACAAATTGTTTGAGGAAATTTATAAATGCAAGCATAGAATAAAATATGAAAGATTCACTAATTACTTGAATTAACATGTTGTTTTGTGGAATAATTAAAAAGTATTTAGAGAACCCAAGGCTATAAAATATTAATAAATAAAATGAATGTAAAATATATAAACTGATAAATATAATGTAAAATATCCTAATATTTCTAGATCTAAAAATGTTTCATTAAATTTATGTTAACTTTTCAAGGTTTTTTTTCCTGGACTAAAATATTCAAGAGAAAAGGGAAAACAAAAGTGGAGCATTGCATATCACTTTAGGGAACCTTAGGGGAAAATTAATATTAGTATCATTTAGCTAAAATGGTCTCACTAAAGCTTATTTATGCTCATGTTCCTAAAAGCTGATATATTTGTGATGCAAGTACATTTTGGATTACGTTTGGCCTGCTGAGGATAGTTAAATCAAAACATACACAAACATCAACAACAACAACAACAACAACAAACAGAGTTCAGTGAACAAGAAATATAAAATACTATAAATAAAAATGTTACTGGGAGATTTGAGTTGCTTTGTTCCCCAAGGAGCAACAGACCTCCAAAACATCCCAAATTACCTGAGATTTGCTCTAACAAACAATGCTAGAGAAAAAGTCTTGCCATTATAAATTATATGTTCCACTCAGTGAATGTCCAGCTCTGTAGCCGGCGAAGTTAACACAGCAACTGGAATATAAACAATATGTGTTGGCTGCACGGTTTCCTAGTGTAAAATTTAGCAGTAGGTTTCAAAGCTAGTCTTTCCTTGAAAGAGGAGGGGAAAAAAAAAATCAAATACTCCCCTATAGCAAAGGCTACAGATTATTTGTATAAGTTCAAGGACAAGGTTAAAATGTTAGACAAATATTAATTCCGGTTTTCTATATGCAGTGCACAGGTGCAACTGGAACAGCATATTATATGGTATAATCATTAAATTCATTCAACCAGACCTTAGAGAGTTAAAAACATATATTCTGAGGAACAGGACTCCTCGGTCCAAAGGATGAGAATGAAACGGTGCAGAATATTTGTGTATCAAGGTGATTCCGGGTTCCAACTGGGAAAACAGGACCGTTAACACCCACGTCCCCTGACAACTGTCCAATTATGTATATCACACTTGGCCTACTGTTTGCAGTAGAAGTAATCAATAAAGGATGTGGTTGAGTGAACATAGATTTTGGTTGAACCAATGCATGAAAACTTAATCATTTACTCAGAGAGGAGAAATCAAATAGAGCAGAGATGAAACAGCCACTGAGGGGTTTGTTGATTGTGCCACCAAGTTTGTGGGCCACAGATGAAAGTGATAAGGCAAATGGGATCAGTGACAGGAGAAAATGTAAAAAGCTCTTCTTCATTCCATGCATTAATAGAAATGTTTGGATGTATTTTTTTTTTGGTCATTTTTTTTTTTAGGAAATTTCACATCAAAGCCTGGATGTTCCATTTTAAAGAATATATGAAAATTACTAGGGCGTGTCATTTCTCTCAAGCAAGAAGAAATTAATTTTCAGCTATGACAGAAAGGTAATTTTCACACTTGAAACTTTGTACTGATTGATTTAAAGATCTCCACTGTGGAAAGTTTTCTAGGAAATAATTTAACTTGAGTTCTCAAGAAAATTGGCAAATGCTGTGGAATCAACTCAGAGATGGGCTGGTGATGACCAGTACGTTCTGTATATATTTTTGTGGACTTTTTCCCTCCTTTGATTCTTTTAAATAGTCATCCTCATTATGTTGAAATATTGTGGAATTTCAGTAAGTGAGTTACCTCAGTCAGTAAATGAGGGTGTGTGTGTGTGTGTGTGTGTGTGTGTGTATATATATGAATATATATAATACGTATATATTACACTTATATATGTATAATTATATATACTTATAGATATACAATATGTATATGATTTTGTAAGGAAAATTGAGGGGTTCTTCCCATGTATTCACTTGAACTATCTACATAAGAATGATGTTTACTTTGTAATTTCTCGACTCGCTTTTTCTTTGTTTTATAGGCCATAATTCTGGCTTTTATAGTAGCATCATAAGACAATTGTAGTACAGCACGTCTTTTTTTTCACTAGCATTCCAAGTAAGGGGCAGGAGACATTATGACTCTGCATTGTCTGCTATGCTGCTTAAATCTCCGTACAGTTAATATTATTCAGAACAATAGCAAAAATAGCAAAACCCGTTCACTATTAAAACCTTTCTCCATAATACCAGGCCTGGGTCTAACATCACCAATGGGCAGCTCAATGTCACCAAATCTTCTGACTTGAGAGAATGTGGTGTGTTTTCCAATTGAGGGCTCAGTATAAATTCTTATAACTGTTTTAGAAGCTTCTAGCCTCAGAGCTTATTCACCTTTCATGCAACACTCAGCTGATGGCCTTCGACTCCCACTAATGCTAGACCTGGCTATACGGTTCCATTTCCTTTAAAGAGATAAAATATGTTTATAGAGGTAGGGCTACCATTAGTGAAACTGGTGCAATTGTACAGGTTAGGAAAAAGAGATTTAGAGGTGATGCTCAGCTTCACACACAAGCTTGATTTATTTCTCAGCTGCCGCCACCATAATTCCCTCCATTTTGGCTGTGTTCCATTTCTCGCCCGTTGCAGCTACCCTGAGAAGGACAGTTTAGGGCTATGAGAGGGATAATACATATATACGCCTGTGCCTGTGTGTTTGAATGTGCGCACATGCACCTTTATTGAAGAAAACCAAGCCCTCGAAGCAACATTTTCTAAAAATAATCACAAAATTTATATTAAAGGATTTTACTAGTTAATGGACTTGAATAAAGCTTCTCAGACATCCAGGGTGCTGCTGTCTACCCGTATAGAATTTCTGGTTTTAAAACATTTGCCGGTCAATAGATCATGCTCTTGAGCTATTCTGCACAGATGTTGAAAGAATATGCCAGGCGTGCATTCCCCTGGGTACTCTTCTGCAATCATCAATGCTGCAAAATGGCAAAATTGCACTGGAATTCTCTGGCCGTGGAACACTTTCCCACTATTACCTCAGAAGAAGCATCCCCTGGGCTCTGTTGTACATTGTATATAACGTTATAAAATTAAGAACTCTTGGCTGGGTGCGGTGGTGCATGACTGTAATTCCAGCAGCTTGGGAGGCTGAGGCAGGAGGATCGCGAGTTCAAAACCAGCCTCAGCAAAAGTGAGGCACTAAGCAACTCAGTGAGACCCTGTCTCTAAATAAGATACAAAATAGGGCTGGGATGTGGCTTTGTGGTTCAGTGCCGCTGAGTTCAATCCCTAGTAACAAAAACAACAGCCACACACACAAAAAAAAAATGTCTACCACAAATCAATGATTGCTTTACTGTGCTTTAGTAGAAAGGCATTCTTATAAGTGAAATCAGTTTCATTTGGTATAAAAGTGAAATGGGGATAAATCTTCTTGGTCCACTATATATTTGCCTTAAGGCACATCTTTGGGTTGTTCAGTGTGTTGGAACAGATACGTCCCCATCCAAAACACTCCCAACTTCCTGTTCCCATCAAATATTTCTGTATTCTTTCCCACTTCTAAACCCCAGAGAATACTTATGCAGCCAAATTAAAGCATTAGATTATCTGTGTCAAATTTTACCAGCTAGTTGCTCAAGTTTTCCCTTAGCTTTGAATGTACAGACTAGGCATTCAAATCTTGGGGTAGAAACTAAAATGTTCTAGATAGAACACACAAGATAAACAGGTGGGAACTCTTTGAAACCAACCTCACATCTCTAGAAGTTTCAAAAATAAAGACCATCATCGGTAATCAAAGGCACATTCCATATGGCCTGGGACACAGTAAATGCTCAGCCAATGTTCACACAAGAAAATATTTTCCCTTGAGTTTTATCTCTTCAGTTACTCTGAGATACAAAGGAAATATTATTTTTGTAAAAATTATTTTCCAAACAAGAGATAACATTTATACAACTGTACAGGCCTGAGCTAGGTTTGTCACTGCAAACTAAGACAAGGAATCCAGCCATGCTCTACTGATTTGGGGCACTGGGAAGAGCAGAGTCAAGCAATTTAATAACCCAAGGGAAGAGGGCAAAAGAACACAGTTGGTTTGTTCCAAACAGACATGAAGCCGAATTCTTCCCTATCTCTTCTTTGTAGTCAAGCATCTTCTTGGTCATTGATTTTAAAGTAACACTTCGAAGGGACAACACGGCTGGTTGTCTAGGGACTAGCTACCAGTCTAATTTTGGAGGACCTTCAGGCTTTGCAGGTCACTTATCTTCCTTACCTGTCTCTGCCCTGACATTCTCCAGGAAATGTCTACACTCTTTTTATAAATATGACTGTGTTCCTACCTAAGCCATTTTTCCAGCAATGACTGTGTTTCATGGGGTACTTTGTAGGGCCGCTCCCGTTTCATTGGTAGAGGTATTTTAAGCAGTGATTACTATATTAGCAATGGTACTTAGGGAAGGATTCTACTTTCAGTTCCTTAGGCATTTAAACATTAAATGCAAATGCCTTTCAAATAACAATTTTGCGTTTTTAAAACATATGTTTATGTATATGTTTGTTTATTCATTTACTTTTAGAGGTGGGAATTGAATTCAGGGATGCTTTATCATTGAGCAAAATCCCCTACCCCTTTATTTTTTAGTTCAGTTTTGAGACAGAGCCTCACAAGTTGCTAAGTGGCTGAAGATTGCCTTGAACTTGCTCTCCTCCTTCTTCAGCCTCCCAAGACACTGGGATCACAGGTGTGCATGACCATACCTGGCTATATATGTTTACAACAAAATATAAATGGAAAGAGATTAGAACTTAACTCTATATTTATATTACTACTACTACTATTAATAAAAAGCTGTATTTTTGATATAAGATAATATTCGCAAAACCTGGATCTTAACTTAGATAACTTTTCTTACTTTTATTCTATTTTGGTTAAGTCATAATGGTATTATATAGTGACCCACTAAGGATTACAATGCAATGAATGAAGGGCAGCCATATGTTTTCCATGGAAAACCATGTATCTGAAGTTGTTCTGGTACCCTTTGATTAAATTTTCTGTTTTAAAGAAAATATTGGGAATATTGGTTTTGCAGATGTGCTCCAAGGAGAGACATCTTAATGGAGGAAGTATGACTGAAGCATAAATGGAATCTTTCCTTAAAGAAGAGCTCTGGAAAGGTTATGGCAAGCCACAGTTACTGAAGCGTACTACAGAGCGCTCACTGCTTTCTTAACCTGGGAGATGTGACCTGATTTTCCCCCCCACTTTCATTCAAGGTCATCCACTAAACGTGCAGAAATAAAAACTGAAAAGAAAACAATTCAAAGGAGGGACAGACAAAGAAGAGTTTAGATGCTCCTTTTTAAATACGACACTGGTTTAAAATAACCTAGGATGAAAGGGTCAGTTAAGAAGGGCACTGCTTAAAATTTAAGCAGGCAGTAATGCATTGAAAGCGACAGACCTCAAACAATTTGAGTCTTTCACAGTTGAATGGATTCACAGTGACAGCGAGACAAGGATGTGCTTACTTACCTCTGTAGGACCTTGGCGATTGCTTCGTAGGCTCTGCCCAGGCTGAGATCATCTTGTAGGTCTGTAGAGATTTTGCTGTATGCTTTGAGGACCTATCAGCAAGAGAAATACATATTGAACATATAGCCACCGCCATATCCACTGATGTTCCCTTTCATAATAGAAAAGATTAAAATTAATAGCTGTTTTTAACGTCTCTATAATTTTTTTGCTTATTAAAAATTCATGTTGGTTTGGTTTATTTTTATCTATAGTATAACTTGTTTTGTGGCAATGTCTTGAAGCCATGGCAGTGAGGTCTCACTTTTGTAAAAAAAAATTACTTCCTTGCATCCTCCCAAATCTTCCAATTTATATAACTTAGGTGTGAATAAATAATTGAATGGTTTACAACATTATTTTAAAAAGATAGGAGTATTATCTAAGGTAATATATGGCAGATTACAATAGTCTACTATGGTAGCTTGGATATCACTTTTCTTTCTATAAATAGCTCTTTGAAAAACATGGATTTAGGTGATGGGCCATTTCTATATCTATCATTTTATTAGATGCCTATTTCACGGTGTGTACATGCACAGAGCATACATGAAAAATATTTCTTACAAATGTACTTCATTACCAATAATGTTTTCAATAATCAGAGGATTAAAGCTGCCACAGCCAAACATATGATCTTAATTTGATTTAACACTGGCATTATCTGGATGGTATGATTTTCCTCTTTTCTATTTTCCCACCTTTTCAGTGGCCAGAAAGAGAAAAATACACATACAAATACAAAAATACATAAAGCAAAATTCCTTTTCTTTGGCTGAAGCTATTACACACATGAGGACACAGGAAATCTCCAAAGACCTCTATGGAAATCCTTTTTGCACATTTTCTAAGAAAGAATTAGTGGAAGTCATATGATGGCATTTGAGAGAGGGAGTCAGTGTTCTTGGTGGTGGGGGGTGGGGTGGGGACAAATATGCCCTGTGTATTTCTACCTGAATTAGACAGACCATAAGGCTAAAGTTTTAAAACAGGATTGATATTCATCTTCATTTCTGTAAAGTAAATATTTGGGAAACACTTTCAGGAGGTCATGGTGATACCTCATGGAATTTGGGTTTCGTGTGTTTTACAAATGACTGCTTGTTCTATGATGAAGCTAAAATTTACTCATGGATACACAGGAAACCAGGGGTTTAATTCCTGCTAAGCCTACAAAGTTCAAAAGTTTGATTGTTCTGGGACTTTTGATGGTTTTGGACTTTTGGACTTTAAAAATGCACTTAGTTTTAAATGACAAACAATAATCATGTTTATAGCCCTGGATGTGACATTCTGATCTATGTATACTTTGTGGAAAGATTCAGTCAAGCTAGTGAACAACCCATCACCTCTATAATTTTTGTCACTTTTTTATGGTAAGAAAAGTAAAAATCTGTTTTTAAAGCAATTTTGAAATATACATGATTATTCACCTTGATTCCTATTTTCAGACCTCTTAACAAAGTCTTGTATAAACCTGAGAATATCCTTTTCGTCTGCCTCTCATAGTTGACAACACCCAGATTTAACCTCATGTGAGTTGACACAGTCCTTGCTGAGGTAGGAGGCAGAACCCCTGAATTTGGTGAATTTATAAGAGACTTTATTGAATCTCACTACCAAAATATTTAGGAAGGGACTTTCTAGGGTCTATTTTTTTCATATATATTTTAGATGGCATTCTAAAATAAAAGTAAAAGTTGAATATTATTATATCTTGTGCCCAAAATAGTTCATTTGTTTTTTCAGCAATTAGTGTTATCATATCCCAGTAAGATTAGACCCTGTGTAAGAATGTGCTTGTATCAAGGCATTCACCACCCTGTGGTACAGGCAATAACCGAGACAGGTTGCCAAAGTTGGAAATCTTATTATCATTGAGTATCAACTGACAACAAAATGAGCAGGATATATTTATCTGTCTATCTATCCATCCATTCATCCATCCATCTATTCTTCCATATGTCCAAACTTCCATATATTTATCTGAAAGAGAGTAGAAAAGTATTCTTGTTCTAGAAGATTAAGAATTTAAATTGAATCAGAATATATTTTGTGTCTGAGATTAAGCTTTTTTAAGGGATGCATAGAAAGACAATATTAGGCCTGAATAACATCAAGCACCTGATTGTTCCCTTTCCTTTTCAATGCTAAATACCACCAATTATGAGGGTACCTTGGAGCAGAAGAAAATGAAGGGTTTGTTATTTATGTCTCTTTCTCCCTTCATTTGCTTTCCTATTTCTGACCTTTCTGCAATTATTTCCTGTCTGTCCTGCATTTTAGATTAAAATTTTTTTTCTAGCAACTGTGGCCCTTAAGTTCATTTTCACAGTGGATACTCACTTTAAAGCACTATGAAGATATCATTCCAGACCTAACTTTTGCAAATTAAATGGAAAACTCCTCTTCCCAGTCAACCATATTAGGAAAACACTGTTTTAGAAAATTTGTTTACAAAACTTTTAAAGATACTTGTATAGGCACAAGTAATTATAGGAAGTAATACAAAGAGATCCTGTGTAACTTTCCCCCAATTTCCCCCATTTATGACTTCTTACAAAATTAGAGTATAATATGGCAATCAGGAATTGACATTGTTGTAAGGCACTGGACTTGTTCAGATTTTACCAATTTTGTGAGTATGAGAGTGTGTGTTTTATGTATTTTATCAAATGCATATATTCGTGTAACCACCACCACAATCAAGATACAGAAAAATCCCATCACTACCAGAATCCTTCCTGCTCCTCTGTTCCAATTCATTTCCCATTTGCTGCCTAGAAGAGAAAAAGAGTAACATTCTGAAATCTTTGGCATCTCTCCTCTACCCTTCTGGTGCACCTCCTTTAGCTTGGGTGTTTGCATTTCCCCAGGAAATGTCTTCTGCTAAATGACAGAAGAAAAGCGGTTGATTAAACTAATTCATACTTAGATGTGAATGACTCAAAGATCAGTAACTCTGCCAGAGAATGTTGCAATTTCAAAAAGAAAATGTTTGCTTGCCCCCAGTCTTCTTGGTGGTATTTTATGCTATCTAACAAAATGAAATGAAACAATTCAGATTGTGTGTGGCAGGATACGGTGGGGCAAAGGTTTAAAAGGGTTTTCTAAAGGCACCATGTGCTTCTAATCTTGTAGTATGGAAAATATGGAAAAGGGGGAGAGGGGAATGAGCTACAGCTGATGTGATACCTGTAAAGCTAACTAAATGCTATGTTCATTTGTTCAAGTTATTACTTTCTTCCTAATGCCTTAACTTCAAAGACCTCTTCTGGCACATTCCATTAGATGTCATGGCTAAGTATAAAATGATATCTCTGCTCTTAACCACTTTACAAAGTAATACGACGACGACTTAGAGTTATTGATATTATATTGTCCTGAATTCTGTTCCAAGGGCTAAAAATATAGACAAGGACATCAAACCACTGCACAAGCATTGAATGTCTTTCAGGGGCCAAGCATTGTTCTAGGTGCTACGGAAGCAGCAGGCAATAATGCACAGGCCCAGGTCCTGGTGTGACAGGGAGACAGTTGGTAATGAAATAAACAAATGAATAAATTCCAGGTAGTTGTGAACTACAAAGATACTGCAACCAGGAGAGGCTTCAGGTAAGAAAAGAAACTCAGTCTGCATTTAAAGGAATGCCAGGAATTGAGTCAGTAATTGGGAAAGGGACAAACATTTGGAGATGAGAATAGAGAAAGAAAGAAAGAAAGAAAGAAAGAAAGAAAGAAAGAAAGAAAGAAAGAAAGAAAGAAAGAAAGAAAGAAAAGGCTCATCAGAATACATAAAAGTAACAATATCCAAAAGAAAAGTTTGCTTTAGAGTTCATTTGGCCTGTAATGTGGACCAAGAAATGGCAGTTAAAATTGATAATATTAAGTGAGAAATTTTCAACCTGCAATTTATCTTGGTTCCAAAAAAGAATTTGATTCTTGTTGGGAAGGGAAGGCAGGTCTATCATTTTTTTTGTGCTTTCACATAAAAGTGGTCCTTTATAGGGCTATTTTTCTGTATTCCTATTTTTTTGTCTGTTTATTTTCAGGGCAAGTCAATGTGTTTGGTTAAAATACGTCACATTCAAGATGGTGCACCCCATTATTCCATGTTTATACAACGTTATGTGGTTGTTCTCTTTCCTGGGCAAAGGAGAGGAAATAGTTTTCTTTCTCCTCTTGGTGTATCACTGAGCATGCACAAGCTCAAACAAACACTACCAGATCGTGCAGGTCAGTGACATCAAGTTTAAATGAATTGCTGACCCTCATCACTGCTGCTTCTATGGGAAAATAACTGATAGAAACCATCACAGGAAAGGACTCCAAGAATCGAGTCCACTTCAGATGGGAATTTTGTAACTTTGCAAAAATGTCAATGAACTCTAGTTCATCTTTTGCTTTGTGCTTTTGGTATTTTTTTCCTCTCTATACTCCTTTCTCCACTTGATTCTCTCCCCCGTAGCCTTTTCTTCCTCGGTTGATTTCTTCCTTGGTCTTCTACTTGAAGGGCACAAACAGGGCTTCTGAAGGACTTTTTGGGATAATTAATCAAATCTCCCTCTGGGTGTTCAATTTTTCTTCAAATACCAGGGGAGATAGCAGGTCAACTACTGAGCTGAGTGACGTGTGTCAAGTAACTTCATCTCTTTCCTTGGGTGTAAAAGGGAAATTAATAAAGCTTACCTTGAAGCGATGTTTAAAGTTCCAATAAGACGTGGTATTTAAAAGTACTTACTAAGGACTTGAATGAAGCAGCTGCTTAATTTTCTCTAGTGCTTATCTAACCTAGTCCTTGCAAAGGGGCTATTTTTGCCCCTGATAGGGGATCTTTGGCAATCTGGAGATGTTTTAGGTTGTTATGATGGGGACGTGGGTGCTACCAGCATCTAGTGGGTCAAGAGCAGGGCTAGCGTTAAATGCCTTACAATGCACACCACATACCCCATTTTATTCATCATGAAA